TCCATAATTTCTTATTTTCTTGCCTGAGCCTGGAAATTGTTCTCAGTATTTTGGCTTACAGAATATGCAGAATTTTAACTAGGGCTTCCCCTCCCTAATGGCTGGGAGGACGAGGAAAAAAAGAGATACACAATCAATAAAAATGTATTGTTGGAGACAACAATCATATTAATGCTAAAGTTGAGCACTGTAGAAATATAAATTTTTCCCCCTCCTTCCTTACTCTGCACACAATTGGAATAAATAATTTCAAGAGGCTATATACCTTTCCAAATGTATTACAAAAATATATAAATTTTAATATCAACAAAATGAGAGAAGGCTCAAACACTATTATTCTCTACCAATACTTCAAGTCAATTCAATATAGATTAATTGGATACTTTCTTTTATGTTTTTAAGATATTTTATTTTTATGAGCTTCTATGAACTTGGGGGAAATTGAGGGCTCTTTGGTACAGATAAATCAAGCTACCAAGGAATGAATGAATATATGAGGAATGAATATATGAGGATTTAGTGCTGACTTATAGATGTGCAGATCTTAAACATCATCTATCATTAACAATAGCTGATTTTCTCGCTACAAATATAAGGGAATAAAAAAGAGGAAATATCATTAAAAAAGACGTCAGCTTGGTTTTATCAGCAAGCAGTATGCTGAGTTCTGAGAATATTGTTTTGATCCATTAAAAACACTCCCTATTTTAACCTACCAATCAGTGGCAATGTAGCAGAACAAATTGGTCTGTTTGTAGGCTTAATGGTCCATATGACATTGCATCTGCATCTAGAAAAGAAAATTATTCCTGGATAAACAACATATCTCTCAGCATGATTGCAGAATAATTAACTTGATGAACTTCATACTTCATAATCCTTTCCTTTATATTGATGTACTAAGCTGTGCAAGATTACAGAAATATAGCAGAATCAGCTAAATATTTGAAAGACACGGCAACATTCATCTTAGTGTCAAACAAGGATCTACATTCAGCTTTCTTTGTTGGCAGTTATTGCCAATAAGGTGACTGAAGGGAATGAACTGCTCAACTGTTTTTTCTCTGGTGGGACCGGTCTATCAGGGCAACCTGATCTACTCAATTATGGAGCATACTGCTTCCATTTTTGCCTTTCAGTCCCAATCCTGCTGAATTGACTTACAGAGAGTCATAATTTAGACCCCACAGCTGGGACCTGCAACTTGTCATTAAGTGAAGTAGTCACCAAGTGAAACTGTGATTGTGGCTTATGATTTTACTTCAGCTTTCCTTTGTTTTACAGACTCATGAAGGTCCTACAGTAAATGCAAAGATTGGCCCGGTATTATTACATCACTGTCATAACTGTCATCAGTCACTAAATGAGGCAGTTGCTAAACACGGGCCTCCTGTATTTGTTCATCATTCATTCACCATTTATGACATAGGAGAAAGTGATGCAATTAATATTTTTCCTTCAGCTATAGTGATGATACAGAGCACATTTTTGCATAAAGAAAATTCCTAATTCTGTTTCTGCCATCACCAATATAAAGTGGCTCAGAGGGAAGGAATGGGAAAGACCATTCCATGAAAACATGAAAGAGTAGTTACTGCTAACAAATGTACTGAATTCCTTACGTGTTCAAATCTGACTGCTTTACCTAAAGCATTTACTGTATTTTAATAACAAGCAACAAAAACTGTAGTTTTAGCTGTATATCTCCAAGACACTATCCAACCACAAGTAAAACTAATGAACGAACATTAATACCGGTATCAAAATGGCCCCAAACCCTGATACACACACACGCACACATAAAAATAAACCTTATACTCTCAATCTATACTCATAATTTTCCCTGACAGCTAGAAATACTTATAACAAACGAGCCCCATCACCTTACTTTACTAACTACCATTCTCAACACCTGCTCATAATCAGTCTGTCTTATTAAATAAATTTAGAAATCTTTCTCAACTGCATCAAGCAGTTTGAAGCCAGAATGGGTCAGGAAGAGAATGCCATTGATCTAAAATTGGCCCTACCCAATGCCTTAAGCAGCAACTGCTATAAAGAGGGATATGGCAATAACGTTAAAGAACAGAAGAATATATGCAACAGAAAAGCTAACCTGCACCTTCTACAAACTCTCAACCAGAAGTCATTTTAGCTCCTTTCTGGATGTAGAATCATGGCGGACAGCAATTGCTTTGTGCTTGGCTTCAAAATCTCTTGGGTTGATTGAGTTACTGACTATTACAAAGTATTTGTTATATTTGCTTTCAACTTTCCTTCAAACCAAAAACAAGAAGGTGGGTGTGACATTTGCAAGTTATTTAGCATCCTGGCATAGACTGCAGCTATTTTGCTCGACTTCATCAAGGCAGTGTATGCATATCTTGTGCTTTTAATCCAGAATCTTAAATTATGCAGCTATTGTTATTGCATAAGTATTTAAAAAGTGAGCAATTGGTTAAGGCTCTTCTCTGACACACTTCTTTCATCCTGGAACTCAAAGTGGCATAAAAGAGATAGGAATATGTCTTGGTATAAAAATCTGGGACAGCTCAAGAACACCATTTTAATATATTTTATTATAATGTGTTTTTGTTCCATTTCTCAGCTCAATGAAATCTTCATGTCTTGTGGGTGAACATTAGACAAACTTATTCTACTACTTTTAAAAACTGAATAACAGAGTATACTTAATACTGGATCTTCTAATCATTTCTCATTTTCTGCAATTGTGTAGTCAAAATTGTGTTTGTTGCCTTGTCACTTCATCTGCAATGTTCTTTAGGACTTCAGCATTAAATTCCAGCTACACTTTATTATTTAAAAACAGAAAAAGGAACACTCCACAACATGAAATGAATCTGGATACACACACACACACAATGTTACAATCGACACTTACTTGTAAATTAATGTGTTAATTTTATATTACATTTTAAGGGAATTAAAAGTGAATTTTTGGTTATTTCTCCCCTTTTCCAGTCACCAAACTGATACAAATGATTCATTCAGAACAGTATCAGCAGGCAGTGAGGTTAGCAATCACCATGTGTTCATTTGAAAGGAAAACATATGCCTATTCATAAGAAATTCATTATTTCCATTGATCCACTAGTTAGAAATTAGGCTGAGTTAGATACGCAGATGCCCTTGAATGTCCTCCATTTCCATCTATAAGACTGAGTTATAGTAGTGTTCTCCTTATGTAATAAAACTTCACAGAGCAAACCACTTTTAGAAAAACTATATTTGAGAGTGTGGAATAAGGTGGACTTTTATCTGATCTGACATTTTCATTTTCAGCACTTTTTTTTTAAGTGGGAGAGGGGAGGAAGAGTCCAAGATCCAGCAACCCACAGAATTGCTAGATATTATTTCAGGTCCCCAAAAGGGTTTCAGAAGATACAGGCATGCAAATGTACTATGTCTTTGCTCTCCCAAAGGACACGAGTCATTCATGGGACATCTTCTAGACTGCTGTACGGAGTTCCAAAGAGGGGCTAATTTTCAGCATTTCAAAGTATTTTTCAAAATCAAATCCAAAGCACTGCCGAATCCTTATCATTATTTCCAAGTGAAGAAAAACAAAACTAAGATACTTTTGAGAACCTGAGTGGAAAACCCAGTCATAAATATCAAAGCCTGTCTAACTTCTCCAGCAATAAACATGTACAAAACAGATTATTCATCAGTTAGTAGTACATTTTAGAAATAGAAATATTTCTTCGTATCAGAGATAACAGAACTTTCTGAATCATGATGTTTACTGCCTTTAGTTTTAAAAGGAAATAATAGGCACAGGTGTAAAATATGTAATATATGAGTGGCTACCATGAACCACAAATCTCCTTCAGCCCTCCCTCAACTCCCCAAACCAGGATCCAGGCTTACTTCCTTTTACCAGCACAACACTCCCGAGAGGTAGTTTTAGGCAGTGAGATTTCTCATTTCCAAGAGAAACCCATTGGCATTGTTGTACAGTAGTTCTAACCTGATTTGCAATCCTGATTTATGCATTTGCACGATAACAATGCTTACCCCTTGGTCTATAAAGAATTCCTCTCCTTTATTACCTAGCTATAATTACAATATGTTTAACTTCAATTAAAACAAGGGAAGCTATTATTCTGTTTGCAATTTGCATAAACACCAGGATGGTATTACAATCCATATAATTGTAAGCGGTTATGGAGGGGAAGGGAGGAACCACTAATTCAGCAGATCTCCAAGTGGGGTAAATGGGACCAAGACAGAAATTAGAACAATTACAGTAGAAAAACGAACATAGAAAACTATGTTGGTGAAGCTTTTCAAGATCAGTTTAAATCAACAATTCCCGCTCCCTATAGTTTCAAGGGGGTGGATTCTAGCTCTGTTAAGAAATGTGACATTGACAAGAGGGAAATCTGAATGTCTTGGACCTTTAGAACTGATCGGTGTTGGTCCATCAGATCCAGATCTTCTTCAAGCTATGCAGAATGTTCAGCCTCTTCTCCTTCCACACGAAGCCTTTTTCAGCACCTTTTCTCCGGACTGACTGAAGCACCCACAATCAGTCCGGAGAAAAGGTGCTGAAAGGGCTTCGGGTGGAAGAAGAAGAGGCTGAACATACTACAGAGCTTGAAGAGGGTCTGGATCTGATGTATCAACTGTCCCGGCGGTTAAATAGAGCCTCCTGGGACGGTGGAGGGGGGCGGGGGGGAAGCCTCCTAAGAGGGGAGACGGAGGTTCGACTCCTCGCACCTCTTCGAGGTCCCACGTGCTCAACCGCCAAAACGCCGGTTAAAAAAAGAGCTGCCCTCCCGACGAACGCACCTAGGTTTTTCTAAGCTCTGGGACGCCCAGGTGATGCAAACTCAGGGCACGTATAAAAAGAAAGGGAGGGAAGGCGGCGTGATGCCAGCAAACACGCTGACGGACCGGGATCGATCGGGTCCGTCTGCCCTCCCGCCTCCTTCCCAAGTGGGTCACCCCGACCCTTCCCGCCGCCCCGCTCTCACCTGTCCACCGCGATGACCGTCATGGAGTAGATGCTGGCGAAGACGGCGGTGATGGGGAAGAAGTTCTGGAAGCGGCAGTAAGCCTCCCCGAAGTACCAGTCGCCGTGGAGCGCGTAGATAAAGTTGACCAGGGTGTTGAAGGCAGCCACCGAGGCGTCGGAGAAGGCCAGGTTGACCAGAAAGGAGTTGGTCACGGTCCGCATGCGCTTGTGGGCCAGAATGATCCAGATCACCACCAGGTTGCCGAAGACGGCCACGGCCACCACCACGCCGTAAGCCAAGGACCAGAGCGCCAGGCACCAGGCCGGCTGCACGAACTGGTTAGAAAAGTTGGCCCTCGGCGACGACCAGTTACTCCCCGCTGGCGCGGACAGGCTCCCGTTCCAGCCGCCCAACTCGGCGCCGCTCCAGTTGACTGCGGGGATGGAAGTCATTCTGGCTCGGAGTCCGGCCAAGCTTGAGAAGTCAGAGGGTGCCTTCCCTCCGCTGCGGTTGCTCTTCGTCGGAATGCCGGTCGGAGAAAGGAGCGAGTGGCCGTCGAAGCCTCTTATATATCCCTGCGGAATCCGGAGTGGAGGAGGACTCCATAGGCTGCTGGGGCGGCTTCTCCCCTCCCTCCCTTTCTTCGGTCCCTCCCCTTGGCTGGCTTTGGCCAACGGCGGGCGCTTTGAGCGCGGACGCCGCTTTCGGTGGCCCTTTAACTGAAGCCCCTGCGGAAAGTCCCCCCCACCGCCCGAAAGTCTTTCCCACCGCCGGCGCAACGCAGCTTCTCACCTGTCTCTCACCTTCCTCCCATCTAATATCTCATGCGGCTCTTAAAAGCCACTTGCCCGGACTCCCGGGGCCAAGGATCCAGGAAGGAATGCGAACCGCCAAAGATGTTCCCGAATTCTACCTAAAAGATGCTCGAAACTTCACAGAGTGAACATGGATTCTGGTCAAATACACTGTCCACCTAGACATACCTGAACGGGAAATTTGGGCTCGAGGATGATTAAAAACTGCCCCTCTTTCCTTCAGAAGCCAATCCATGAATGGTCCAAGAGTCAGGTAGGACTTGAAGGGGATTTTATTTTAAAGAACTCTGATCATTCCAAGACACATTTTTTTCAAACATTCTCTCTTGTTCTTTTCAATGGAATTCATGCTCAAGTAAGTTTTCCATTTACACTTCCTCTGGTTTTCTTAAGCATATTGTTTAATTCTCCTGAATAACAGCTTCTTCTTCTTCTTTTGTTGTTCATGATCCTTCTAAAATGTGTCCTATAAAAACCAATAGGGGAACCTCATACTGTACTCTATTAAAATGCCTTTAAATTCAAGGTAGAAGTCATCACTGTGATAGAGATAAAACAGCAGCTGTAATATTCCACTGGGACAGGCAGAAGCTAAGTTCCGAATTTAAGCAGAATTTCTTAAGGAGCAAGCAAAGCTCCAAGCCTTCGCCACCTGAGTTCTGGCTTATTAGATGTTTAATGGATCATACAAGTCACCTTTCTCACCCTCAGTTCCTCAGCTAATCATTGTAAAATCAAACTTAGTGAATATTTGCTTCGGTGTCTAAGGTTAGCTCTTATTTCTCATCAAAATATTATAAAGAGTGACAAGAGCTGCTTTATATGTTTAAATGTGTATGTAAGTATCCACCAGGGAAGCTTTTCAGAGCAAACAATAATATGATCATTAATAGAACAAGTTCTCTATAGCCATCTGACATTTAGGAAATTCTAGAATCTCACCAAAATTCAAAACCCAGGCTGGTTTGTTTCTGGGAAGAGCAGGATGATCCAGCTGCCCAGGAAATTTTGTTCCCTAAAGCAGGAAGGTGGATTGGTGGCTCTCCAGATATTGCTAAACAAAACTCCAGGATCTGTTTAAAAACGGTCATGTTGGCTTAGGCAAATTGGAAATGTACTGTAGTTCAACAATATCTGGAAGGTCACTGATTTTTGCCATGCTCTACAACAGAATACTGTAAATCTATATCATTGTCTACTCAGGGGTGTCAAAATCATGCGCTGGCAGATTTAGCGAAGGGGGGGAAGGCACAATTTGCCATGTGATGATGAACACCCATGTTCTACTTGATCACTTTTAAAGATAGTCATGCCTCACTTTAATCTTTATATTAAATGTAGTCTGTTCTTTTACATCTTACTTCTAGGGCAGGAAAGCAAGCTTGAGTCCTACAATATTTTCTCATCACCTTCACATCTACTGTGTTCACATAACACACACACACACACACACACACACGTATTCATATTATTTAACTAAATCAATAGTCTGCATTCACAGTCAGCCATAAACAAATTGCATTTGCTGGGTTTGTGTAGCACATTGACATACAAACTAGTCCACTGTAGGTTAGCTTAGCATATTATGGAAATAGGTTAGCATATTATGGAGATTAGAGAAATAGCACCAGCTGAGCTTCTGCTCCTTGACTATCATACCTTTTAAGGATCTCTGCCTTTTTGAAAAAACAAAACAAAACTTTTTAGTTGTTCTCTTTTGATTTTTCTCATATTGTCACGAGTTGTTTTTGAGACTACTCAACAAGCAGAAAGGCATTATATAAATATTTAAATAATTGGCAAATGGCATCTGAAGACAGAATTTTTTCAAAAGTTGGCTGTCTCAGTTGGCATCTGAAATATTCCCTCAAGAAATAAGGGAAATAGCATTTTTCAAGCTGAAGCGTTAATTTGAGCAGTAATGAAAGAAAGGTGGCTACCAATTATAAGGCAAATAGTAATTAGAAGGCATTTCAAACTAATCGGTAATTAATTAATCAAGATGAACAGAATGGTTGGTTTTCTGTGACTGGGATGGCTGAATGTACTTCACTATCATATCACTCAATTAATTTATAGAATGGGTTGGGCCTCGATATGGTTCTATTCTGTTAAAGCAAATTATAATAATTCATTACAATCATCAATATTATAGTGATATAGTAAATAGATATGCAGTTATTAAATATCAATAAAACTCAAGCAGCTACTTAGACAATAGTACAGAGGTTCAATAATCTAATGTGGTTATTTAAGAACAGCAAGGAAAAAGAACATGAAACAAATCACAGCAGCACAACGTTTTCTTTCTTTCTCAGCTACTACCCTTACAACTCTTTAAATTATTGTCACTTTCTGGGACTGTGCGTGGTTGTGCAATGAATGTCTACAATTAACCTACAAATCTTAACTGACTGATACATGTTTCACCATTCTTGGCAAGCTTTCCATCCAGCTCTCATTAGTTCTTTCCTCTCCATCCATTTTAGAAGTCTGGAGCAAATCCAAAGGAGAAGCAAAGTAATTTAAGGCAATTTGCTTGGTATCCCAGGGCAAAAATAAAGCCAAGCCAATATGGGCTGTCAGAGATATCTGGTCTAGATTTACATCTCTGCAGCTTTAGGAAAACTCCTGTCTTGAACAACTAAGATAGACTGCAACAATGAACACAATATTGGATTTCAATAAGTGGCAAATGCTTTTTCAAGCTGTGGTGTCCTTGGCAATCAGCGAAATGGGGCTAAATCATTGCCAGCATTGTAGGGATGGATTGTGCTACAGACCGCTGCAAAGTCTGTGCTCATTCTGACTTAGCATAGTTTCACAAATGATTCTTCTGGAAGTTAGATTTTTTAGCTTGCTGTGCTAATTCTTTTCTTTTGTCCTTTCTTTTTCCCTCGTTCTGTACCTCTGCTAGTATCCTTACAACTCTTTTGCTGGTTATGAGTTGTGATGTTTACTTTTATATAATTCTATACTACTTTTGCCTTTTATAGTTATAGTTGCTAATTGTCCCAGATAAGTCATCAATTTTATATTCTTACGTGATGGATATTCATAATTTCAAGTCCCAACAATGACAAATCAGGAAGATAGATAGTTTTTCCTTCCAAAATAATCTTCCTTTGGCTTCATCAGTTTAAAAGTGCCACAAAAGTTCTTCAAAGGCAAGTCTGAAAATGAATCAAAATGAGAGAGACAGGGAGAGAGAGGGGGGGGAGGGAGGGAGGGAAAGGGAGAGGGAGAGAGAGTGAGGGAGGGAGAGAGGGAGAGAGAGGGAGGGAGGGAGAGAGAGGGGGGGAGGGAGAGAGAGAGGGAGGGAGGGAGGGTGGGGAGGGAGGGAGAGAAAGAGAGAGAGAGAAGCATATATCTCAAAAGCCACTGATTTTGATTTATACTGATTAGTAGGTGGCAACATGAGGTTGGATTCATCCTGTTTGGGGTTCATTATACAGACAAATCTTTCTATGGATTTTCAACCCTTTACCAGAAATCAAACCCAAGGGTCATTTTATACTTATGGCTCCTTTATCAGATTTGATTTTAACATTAAAAAGTGCCTGCAAATTTCATCCCTTGGTTCAGTCTAGGATGACTTGGATCACTTCCTAAACTCTATGTCAGGTTCCTAAGGGAATCTTATCAATGTAATAACCATGTTTTAAAATCCCAGGCCTCATTTATAGAGCTATGAGCTTCTAGTTGCCCTTGAGGTGGTGTTTGCCTTTTTTATACCAATTGTACATTGCCAAATTCCAAGGCAGAGTCAAAAAACAAAAAAATAGCAAAAGGCTGGTTAAATAAAAACCTCCAGACTCTTAGTTTAACCTCACAGTTTCCCTGGCTCAGAAGCAGAATGGTTTAGTGCAGAGGTGTCAAACTCAATTTCATTGAGGACCGCATCAAGGTTGTGTTTGAACTTGGTGGGCCAGGATGGGCACGGCCAGCTTGACATGACACTTGTCAGGGGTGCCTCTGATGGCCCGAGTGCTCTGCCAGCAAAAACGGCCTACCAAGGTCCATTTTGGCTGGGATGGCCTCCTACAAATCTCTGCCAATGAAAATAGCGCTTTCTGAGCCCTTCTGAGCTCTGTTTTCAATGGCAGAGGCACCGTGGGCTGGTCCTTCACTGTTTCCAGGACAGCCCTGCAGGTCAGATCTAAGCATCCCATGGGCCGGATCCAGCACATGGGTCTTGGGTTTGACACTCCTGATTTAGTGGATTGAGAATGATTTGGATTCCAATTTAATCTCAGAGCTCACTGAATGACTGGGGGCCTGTCATTATCTCTCAGTCACTATCAATTTTGTAGGATTGTCACTGAGTGTCTAAAAAAGGGGTAGTCCCAGAAGGGAAATCATTATAAGAATGTAACTTAGTATCAATTTGGGCAAGATGATTTATAATTAAGACCTAATTATTCCCATGAAATGACTAAATCCATGTAAGTGCAGTTAATTCTCCTTAGGTGCATTATTCAAATGAATATGTTGCATGGAAAAGTAACCTGCCAACTTTCCACTCTCTTCATAGCAAAGGATAAGGGCAAAATGTTAAATGAATGAATAGTAAGTCAAAACAGATAAATGACTGGAAGGATCCATTCCTAATTTAAACCACCCACTATCTGACTTGC